TATGACGCTATGACTCTATGAGATGAGATGTTAAACTGAGATCAAGTGTACACTTTCACTTGGTAATAAAAGATCCAATGGGTATTTGAAAAAGAGCAAGGGAATATTATTTCATATCGTGGTAATATATATCTCTGAACTAACATCTCTGAAACATTTAATGTGTTCAACAGTTTATTGTTTGTGGGACCTTGCCGTGTATAAATTAACTTCTGTAATTCCTATATTATGCTTCATAAGTACTAAATTAGCTGCCAAAGAGCCTTGGAGCATCCTAAGGTTATGAGCAGGTGCTCTGCGCATGAAGCTATTTCATTCACTCTGTTGTGAATGTCTGTTTATTTCTCAATTGTGTTCCTTGTGATGATAACATCAACCTCTCTAGAACATAGTGTCTAATATCACAGAATAAACTGTCATCCAATATCTTTGGCTGCTGGCTGTATTCTATCACCTGTAGAGACTTCTATTTTCCCTTTAAACTGTGATTGTGTTCCCAGTTTGCAGAGTCTGCAAGCAAAAGAAATATGATCCAAGCCCTGTGCCTTTTTATAAACAATGCATAGTTTTGGAACCTGATCTCAAGGATGGATGTAGTTGCATTGGATGCAGTTAAGGGAGGGTTCATGAGATTGATTCCAGAGATGAAAGGTTTGTCTTATGAAGACAGATTGAGCAGTTTAGGCCGATACTTGCTCAATTGAAGAATGAGAGGAGATCTAATCAAGGTATCTAAGCTTTCAAAGTAGATGTAGACAGGATGTTTCCCCTCAGGCAATCTACAATGAGAGGTCATAGTTTTAAGCTAGGGGCAACAGATTTAAAACAGACATGAGGAGAAATTATTTCTCTGAAAGGGTTGTAAATCTGGGAATACCTCAGAGTGCAGTAGATGCTGGCATAGTGACTGAATGTAAGGATCAGATAGACTTTTAATTAGTAATGAGTTGAAGGGTTATGAGGAGCAGGCGGGAAAGTAGAGGCTGACATGAGATCAGCCATAATTGTATTTGTATTGGTTGTAACCAGGTGGATCTTATTGACTATGAGATCCTTGATCTGGGCCAATCGGGAATTCAGAGTCTACTGACTTTGAGGGCTGGCATAGCTAGTGTACTGTGCCCATGCAAATAAAGTGTGACTTAGTGATGGGATACCAGCCTCTGTGCAGTTATTCCAATATTAAATGTTGGAACAGGCTTGACGAGCTGAATGATGTACCCCTGCTCCTAGTTCTTATGTTTTTATTTTTGTTGATCATGGGGATGGATCTTGCAGGGTCTTGGGGAACCCCATTGCTTTCTCCATGGAAACGCAGTTAGTCAATCACAGTCGACCTGCTAACCAATGAGCACCCTTTTCTCCTCTATTATAAATTATTGTGACTTTCTGAACTTTGACATTCTTGTGTCTGTCCTGATGAGTGCAAGATGAAGACTTCAAAAACATGGTTATCTTCTCAGCAAGATTCAGGCTAGAAAGTTACAAACATGCAAACAAGAGAGATAAGAAAAGACCAACTTATCCATTGAGGTTGTTTCAAAACAGTCACAATCCATATGAGCGCTACCTCTGACTCTTGAGTCAGAATCTCTGCTGTGTCTCAACCAGTGAGTTAGCTTTGGGTCTACTGTTGCCTTTGGTATTTACAGTGGAGAGACATATGGAGAGGTTAAATGAACAATGTTTCCGGGTGAAAACTGATGGGTGCAAGAGGACTGGAAAAGTTTAAGCTGTGGTGCACAGCACAGCAGAATTCCCAACAACTGTCACAAGTGAATAAGTGTTACTTGTACATTATAGCTGTTTAGAAATATTCCTTATAAAATTTTAAAAAAAACACTTCGAGAAGGGAATGAAGCAACTGGAAGGAAATTGGGGAAAAAAGAAATTGAGTTATATTACAAATGAATACCTATTATGAAACTATTAAAAAGATGTGGTGTGAAGAAGGGCTTTATACAATTATTAAACAGAATGTCTGTCTCTGGAGAGCTGTTAAAGCAGTTATCTGAATGTTTACAGCATATCTCAATGGTATTATTTCATTCTTGCAATAATATTTTTGTTACAATCATCGGCTCAATTACTACTTCAGTGTTTTAAAAACACCCAAATCTCCACTTCAAATCGATGTAATAATTTCACAAAATCAGAAGGCAATAGCTTGTAAAGTGTCAGGGTGTCTGTCATAGCAACTCAGTTGAGACAGCCATGGCTGCTTTATTCCATGTTTCCCAAATGGAAGATCTCAATTTGTAAATTAATCTTCCTTTTTGGCATGTCATTCTTTCTGCACTTTCCTTATATTTTGTAAGTAAATGGTTGATGACTGCAGCACAGAACTGTGAGCAGATACTTTTCATGTGCTGGTCTCGATTGATTGTGGGGTGAGGCTGAGAGGGGCTAAACTCCTTAGATCAGTGAAAGCTAAATGGGGCGTTATTAGACGTGTTTAAAATGGTGAAGGGTGTTGATAGAGTAAATCAAGAGGATTTGCTTATGGTAGCTGAAGGATCAATAACAAGGCAGCATGGATTTTTGATGATTGGCAAAAAAAGAATCTAGAGGATACATGAAGAGAATTGATTTTATTAAACAGTTAGTTTAGTTCTGAAGAAGAGTCACTGGACCCGAAATGTTAACTCTGTTTCTCTCTGCACAGATGCTGCCAGACCTGCTGAGTTTCTCCAGCAATTCCTGTTCTTGCCAAGATACCCTGGAACCCAAAAACAAAACTCAAAGAGCAGCAGATGCTGGGAATCAGAAACAAAAAACAGAAATTGCTGGAAAAAACTCAGCAGGTCTGGCAGCATCTATTGCAAACCCGCTGTCAACCACTAACGCTCCCCATTAGCAGCTATTTATTCTCCCAGGCTGATCTTTCTCCATTCCTTTGTCTACCCAACTGTTTTTCTCTCTCTCACCTGTCATTTACTCCTCACCCCACATCCCACTCCGTCTTCAGCATATTTACCATCTTTTTCCTTGCTACAGTCAGTTCTGAGGAAGGGTCAATGGATCTGAAACATTAATTCTGTTTGTCTCTGCATGGATGCTGCCACACTAGCTGAGTTTCTCCAGCAGTTTCTGATTTCCAGCATCCACAGTTTTTTTGGATTTTTAGTTAAGATTTGGGCTGCATTGCCTGGTGCAGTGATGGATAAAGAGGCAATCTCAGGATTCAAAAGAAATCTGCATTAAACACTGGGAGTTGAAAAGAATCGCACTCAGTGGAAAACCGGTCTTCGACAGAGCCAGCAGAGAATCAATGGGCCAAATTGCCTCTTTCTGTGTCATAGAGTGGCAGAGATTTTACAGCACAGATAGAGGCCCTTTGGCTCATCGTGCCCACACCAGTCATCAAGCATCAATTTAATCTAATCCCATTTTCTAGCATGTGCCCTTGGCTTTGTATGCTATGGTGTTTCAAGTGTTTATCTAAATGTGTCAAGGGTTCCTGCCCCTACCACCCTTTCAAGCAATGAGTTCCAGATACCCAAAACCCTCAAAAAAATTCCTCAAATCCCCTCTAAACCTCCTGTTCCTTACCTTAGAACTGCAGCTTCTGGTCATTGCCCCCTCTACTAAAGTGGAAATGTTTCTCCCTATCTACCTATCCATGCATCTCACAAATTTTTGCACCTCAGCCAGATAGAGGCAATGGCCTAGTAGTATTATCGCTGGATTGTTAATCCAGAGATTTAGGAAATGTTCTGGGCACCAGGGTTTGAATCCCACCATAGCAGCTGGTGGAATTTGAATTCAGCAAAAGAAAACTGGAATTAAGAGACTAATGATGGCCATGTATCCATTCACAATTATTGGAATAACCCTTTTGGAGAAGGCAACTGCCTTCCTTACCTGGTCTGGCCTTCATGTGACTCCAGACCCACAGGTTGAGTCATAATTGCCCTCTGGGCAATTAGGGATGGGCAGTAAATGCTGGTCTAGCCTTGTTTTGTCTGTAAATGAAGTTTTTTAAAATGTCCCTTTTCAGCTTTCTCTGCACTAAAGAAAACAATGCAAGCCTATCTGGTTTCTCTTCACAACTGAACTATTCCGTTCAAGACAACACCATGATCCATCTCCTGTCCACCTGTTATAATGCTGTATTAATCCATGACTCCAGGACATTGTTTAGTCCAGACTGACATAGTCATGTTGATAGAGGGATTTTATGGGGTGGATACAATGAAACTAACTACTCTGCTGGGGGTGGCTAGAGGTCAAGGACAAAGAGGTCAGGGAGAAGGCAGGAGAATGGGGTTGAGAAACATATCAGCGGTGATTGAATAGCAGAGCAGACTCGATGGGCTGAATGGTCTAATTCTCGTGATCATAATGATAAGATTTGAGCTGAGCCATTCAGGGGTGAATTCAGGAAGCATTATTTCAGACCAAAGCTAATGGAAATCCAAAACTCATTTCCCTATGGATACTGGAGAATTGGTTGGAGTGTTGATGGTCTTTCATAGGGTAAGGGTAAATGTAGGAAAGACAGATAAATGAAGTTGAGGTACAGATTGGTTACACCTTAATTGAGTATGATCATATGGCCATAAGACATAGGAGCAAACGTAGGCCATTCAACCCATCAAGTGTTCTCCAGCATTCAATGAAATCATAGCTGATCTGATAATCCTCAACTCCACTTTCCTGCCCCTTCCCCATACTTTCTGAGTGGATCGGGCTGAAGAGGATGAACACCCTCTTTCTATCCCTGTGGTTCTGTCCTCACTGAGCTCCACACCTGTTCATTTAACAGGGACATGGAGCTAGAATTATGTTTGTTGTCAGCCCTCGTTGGTTTAGGAGAGCTGGGCCATTTCTTTGTGATCAGATAAATGTGCAAACTCTGTTCTAAAGTGAAGATCATTCTGTTTTGTAATGGTTTAGAGACAGTACACTAGTTGGTTGAATCATTAAAATGACAGCAGTGTGCATGCAAGACAAGCATGTAACTAACAGTTGGTCTTCTTTCTGTTCTCTCACACCAGGTTATGGCCATGCAGCTCCAGGCACCAATGCTGGCAAAGCCTTCTGTATGTTTTATGCAGTTTTGGGCATTCCACTGACCCTGGTGATGTTCCAGAGTCTAGGCGAGCGCATGAACACCTTTGTCAGGTACCTGCTGAAAAGGATAAAGAAATGCCTTGGAATGAAGAAGACTGAGGTCTCCATGGAGAACATGGTAACAGTTGGTTTCTTTTCCTGCCTGGGAACCCTCTGCATTGGAGCAGCAGCATTCGCACACTTTGAGGATTGGACCTTCTTCCATGCGTATTATTACTGCTTTATCACTCTTACCACCATTGGATTTGGGGATTTTGTGGCTCTGCAGAACAATGAAGCGTTGCAGAAGAGGCCTCCATACGTGGCATTCAGTTTTATGTACATTCTCGTTGGACTGACTGTGATTGGAGCCTTCCTCAACCTAGTGGTCTTGAGGTTCCTCACCATGAATTCAGAAGACGAGAAGAGAGATGCAGAGGAACGTGCCGGGAATAGGGATGCGGCTATGGCCATCGGAGAGGACATTCAGAGCAGGAGCACCGTACTGCTGCCCTTGGAGGAAGGCCGCAGTAGGAGCAATCTGATCCCCCTGATGGAGGGCGAGGTGGAGATCAGGCGTGAGAGTTTGCCAGACCCTGTCTCTGACGTCGGATCTCTTTGCTCCTGTATGTGCTACAGATCTCAGGATTTTGAAAGCCGCAATGGATTGCACCCTTGCTCCTTTAGAGCCCACACCAACCCGGTTTACTTCAACTCCATCTCCTTCAAGGTGGAAGAGATGTCATTGAGTGCACAAGAGAACTTTGCCTTCTCCTCCCCTGGAAGCACCACTTCCCTTGGATACCCAAGCTTCAGCCAGCGCCTCCGAACCCGGCGGAGGTCAGTGTGAACCCACTGCATGTGCACTCTGTTGGAGTTTGCTCGATCGAAACGCTCATTGCATTAGCAGCAGCATGGCAACCGGAGCCTCAACAAACAAAGCATGGCTATTGTACACCACAGCTCAGTAAACAGCTCGTCTGTGTGACTGGGTGAACGGAGATGCGCGAAGAGAACGGTTTGTACACGCAAAGCCTGCCGAAGGTGGGCCTGACTCCACAATTAACCAAGAGTCACCAGATGTGACCCTACTCTTTGTGCTTCAAGAACAGGTGAAGCTAAACTTTAACTCAACCGGAGTTTGATTACCTGACTAGACAATGCAGGTCAGAGGTAACCCGTTGTTAATGTGGTTTCCCTCAATCTCTAACCCTATCAGTTTGGCTTGCGTGCAGTCAGAGCTGGTGGCATGGTCTTGCCAATGGAAGGGCATGAGTTGTCTGGAGTACAGCACGCACTTTGAACTTTCCACCAGGCAGCATGTTGCAATGTCCAGATTTTTCAGTTTGTGAGACGGTTCACAAGGGGCTGCTGCCGAATACAGGTCCTCTCCAGCAGCCTGCCCTTTCTCCTGGATAGTTTACTGTCGAATTGTAGGCAGCACCAATAACAGCAACAACAACAAAAAAAAATAACAGTTAGATCCAGATTTACTTTATGTAAGGTTCGGCCTCCTGTGGAGATGAAGATGTGACTGATTCAGCCATGTGGAGTAATCTACCGGAATCTGCAAGGAATTTGTCAGGTTGCTGTGCCCTCAAAAAAATTCCTAGGGAATGGGGATGATGCTCTGCTCTAGTACAGAGGGATGTAATCGGGGGGATGGGAGGACTCAAGGCGACCATGGACCATAGGAGGTTCATTTTTCGAATGGACCTTGTCCGCACACATCAGTCGAGCAGGTGCTTATTGCCAACTGCTGCAGCTCACCAGCCTTAGGATGGTACAGCTGGCAGCATGGGAACATATCAGGATGGTAAGGGAAGGCACAGGGTGGGTGAGGTGCAGGAAACAAGGCCTTATGGCTGAGGCAGGGACCCAAGTCATTGTCCCAGAGCCTGTTTCTCTTCAGTATCAGTCAGAAAACAAAGTGTCAACTGTGCATCATCTTCCTCTGTATTTAGTTACAATTGTCCTCGGAGGGTGGGGGTTGCCTTCTGGATGCCCTACGTACGTTAGAGAGACTCTGGCTCCAAGTCTACCATAACACCGTGTGCTATAGCGCCTCCCACTGACATCTGGTGCTTTGCCCACGTGAAAATTCCAAAATGGTGGTGAGCAGAGATCCACAGGGGCACGGCAGTAAGTACCCATCAGTTTCGATTTTAAGCCTATCCCTCACCACAGTTCCATCAAGCAGACGACATTAAACTCACACCCCACCTGCCCAGGGCAATGGTGTGAAACTCTATTGTCTGCTGTTCTAACAAATGTGGCAACCTGGTCAACAAACAAAACACATTCAAGTCATGAATGTGAAGTGAACAGAATTCAAAAGAGACTGTGTAATTGAACATCACATGGTGTGATGCCATCCCATTTAGGACTGAGTCTCACTGGTAGCCCACTCATTAATATCCTTGCGGAAAATTCCATTCTGTGATTTTAATTAATTAATTTGTCTGTTTATTTGTAACTGTTAAATTACTTGATTTAAATAGAACATGAAATGTAAAGCTCTAGGTTAAGTTTCCAAGGGGAACGATCAGACCAATTGCACAAAACCAGGCTGGGAGTTTGAGGTTGAAAGGGGTGGGGGACGTGATGGCATCAGATTAGTTCAATAGGTCAGAAGTTGGAAACAACTTAGAGAATTGACAAAGTGTGTAAATTTAGGAAAAAAACAAATCAAAGACTGTATTTTGTCTGAGGTTAAAGTTGGTTTCCCAGAACTTTACAAGAAGAAAAAGGCACTTAAATGGACTTAATCAAATACAGAATTAGGTGGACAGTTGAACAGTATTGTAACATTTTGTTTCCAGGCCCTGGGTATAAGTAATGCCATCTTTAGTATCGCCATAAAAACCAATTCCTTCCTGCATGAGTATTTAGACATTGTGGGCTAATGAAACTGCCAACACAGACAAGTCTAGCATGAACCGGCGATGCTGATTTTATGTGGCTCCACAGTCGTCAGTAATTCAGAACCTGCCAGTTTTAGCAGCCACATCTCTGCCAGGTTAGAATTTATGATGCTCATTTATAACAGGCTTGTAATCCCGACAACCAAGGCAATCCACAAGATAAACTGTTTCTAAGAAATTGAGGAGTGCAATGAGAAGCATGTGGGAAAACCTTCCCTGGAAACAGAGTCCATTACAATGGTTTCCAAGACAAAGCAGCAGTTTTTTTTAATACATTTATGTAACCAATAGCCTATGTTGTCATGTTCAACAACCACTCACTCATCCATCAGCCAATGACCAGCCAGAATGGATGGGAATCTTTCTCATTTCATCCAGGAATAACACTGAGCCCAACAGGGTTAACCTGTTTGGTTGTGGTTTTCATACAGTCTGAAGTCACAGGAAAATTTACACTTATCAGTGACACTTAACATTCTGACAGGCCACAAGACTCATTCCATAGGCTATAATCACCTGTATTTTTGGGGTTTAGTGAGCTCCTACAGCTCACACAATACATGAGGATCCCATTGGAGTTCTCTCCAGAATTTAAAACTGGACCCCCTGGTCTCTACTCACTGGTAATGGCCTGTAATGTGGTTCAAACCTGAGATGCAGAACCATCTACTGGGAGATGAAGCAGCCTCAAAACACCCACAAACGTGTTTCCAAAGTTCATCACAGGTCCAAAGAAACAATAGGCAAAAATATTCTCTTCATTTCCAATGAGCAGCAAACTTTGATGATAAAATACACTCCATCTTTCTCCTGGCACGCATTGCTGCTGCCAGGAGTCATTACTGTGGTTGGGACCCTTTAAAGAAAGGCCCAACAACTCCCTTTGACCTGGTAAGGAATGAACCAAAGATCATGCTGCTCCCCCTTCTCCCACTCCAGCAGAATTTGGGGGAAACTGAATGGAACCCTAGTTTAGTGCAGGTTCTACCCCAAACCCTGCTGTCTGCCATCTCCAACCCTAGGCAATTTGAATTGTGACTCTTTAGTGTTCCTTGGTTGTTCCTCAGTGAATAATAGGACATGGGAGTGGAGTATAACAACCATAAAGATCACGGCTTTATTTCTGGTAAGACCTAATTCAGGTGACCTTCTGTAACCCTGAGCTAGAGAAAGAGAAAAGTGGACAGGATCCACTCCCAATACCATGCAGGAACTCCTACTGCGTGATCTTGGATTAAGGGCAGGTCTGCTTCAGCTCAGAATTCCCCTGCAGTTGAGTAGCCCACTGCCAAAGAAGGTGGGTTTTGGTGCCAGAGGGAACCCAGCATCAACAGAACTGGATGAAAAGTAAGGAAAAAAATTTGTGGGGAAGAAAAAACCTCATTACTTATGTCCTCCACTCCAAACTAGCATTCTCCACTCAGAAACCGTTGACCATGATTGAGAATTTGCATGTGGGGAAAAAGAATCATTGAACGTGCGAGAGAATGAACAGTTTTGGAGTATGCTGATGGTATAGGCCCTGAGTGGAGAAGGAAAACATACTTTCACTCTCCAGAACTGTCAGGAACATCTAAACAAGGCAACACTGTCATTTCTTAAGATCTTCATCCTGCATCAGATCACCACAAAGGGTCATATCCAATAGAAATGTACCCAACATAACATCATGTCCCAGATTATTAGTTATGCACTCTGCACCATAGTCTGTTCCTTGGAAATGGTCATTGCCTTGTGGTTTAATGAGCAACAAGTCCCACCTGTTTTACATCTCTCTTCAGGTATTGTTTGAATCCCTTATGACTCTTGAAAGCTTTGCCATTTTCAGGACTTCTATAATTTATTTTGCATCCTTATTCATTTATTTCAATGTTTAGGAACTGTTGAGTGATGAGAATATCTCCATCAGGAGTAACATGAAGATTGACAAACGATGCATTATTGATTGAGTTCACCCCAGTCTTCATGCCTTTACCCTGAGTCTCTCTCAGGCCAAAAGTATATTGAAATGTCTCAATGCATTAATGTCAACTGCTTCAAAGCCCTCCCCTAAAAAGTTATTGAATTGTACTTTTTGAAAACAATAGGCTCAAGAGGTCTATTTCCTTTGGAACATTAGCCTCTCCTAAATGGGTTTTCCTCAGTCTTTCCAGGAAAACATCCTAACATTCCTTGAGAGGTAGTGAGAACTGCAGATGCTGCAGTCAGAGATAACACAGTGTGGAGCTGGATGAACACAGCAGGCCAGGCAGCATCAGAGGAGCAGGAAAGTTGACATTTTGGGTCAGGACCCTTCTACTTCAATGGTCATATCCAGTACTATATTCTATCAATCTACCACCATCAACCTAGCTTTTAACTGAAAACATTCTCATTGTTAAATGGAACTCTTTACCACTGTAAAAATTTATTGGGATGTATTATTTTCTTCACCATCTTGAAACTTCAACTAGATGTATTTCAAAGTTCCCCCTTTTCAAAAGAAAACAAAGCTGTTGTTCTTGATCTTTCTCCATGGATTCTATTCCAAAACGTCAGACTTTTTCCCAACACTGTCTATTTACTAATTTGGCTTTGATTTGTTGGTCTAAAGACAAGTAGCCCTCAAGTTATTGTGCCCTAATTTTCATGTCTGATGGTCCCTTGCTTGAAGGTTATTTGGGCAGTGCAGTATTCTGAAAGAAATGCCGGCAAATCAGCTATCTTGTTATTTCTCACCTGATTTTAAATGGCTGATAAAACTCCGGAATGACGTACAATAGGTTGCCAACTTACTATTTACCTACTTTACACTAGTACTCAAATTCAAGACGTCCTTGCTTATTTCTCTCTCTTCCTATCCATATATCTGATTCCTTGGTGAAATCTTTCAATTCTTTCCTGTCTCTCAGATGATACCTTTGCAGCAAACCTCAATTTTGTCCCT